TGAGAAGTGATATGCTCATTTGCTTAAATAACGTTAGGTGCCAGCCATTACTGTTTTCCAGTCAGTCAGCAACCCTTTTAAGATATGATAAGAGGTGATGGTCTTAGAGGTTTAATGTCATCTGTTTATCTAGTGACATGCGTTTGCTTAGCGGCTCCTGCCACAACCTTAGCCCTTACTTCCCCTTTGGCAAGTCATTCTTTAAATCAACAATTGCCCATACCTTCCTAATATTATCAATAATAACGGATGGTATTCTCGAAGCTAATGCCTCTTTGGATAATTCATTACCGAGATCCAACCGTTGCCGCTTTTCTCACTCTGTTGCCGTGCCTTCTTTACTGCTTCTTCGCAAGTTTGTAGAGACTCTTTGATAGGGTTGGGCCCAGTTGGCCTATATTTGTAAGGATCGTGAGCATGAATCTATTAAGGATCTAAATCACAAAGAAGAAAGTGATTAGGTTTATGCATAAATAGATTTTTGTTCGGCATACATTATCTCAATATAAGGATTGAAAAGCAACAAAATCTGAGAGGATTATCACAAAATTGTTGAGTAAACTTCTGATTCTTCAATTAACGTGCTTAAAATGAACCATTGTTACAATACAAAGGAAAACGGATTAGAAGCCGACCTGCATAATCTCATGTATAAAAGGTGGATTTGGTTCTTCTTCTCCTCCCCTCTGCCCGAAAGGGATACACTTTGCTACCTACAGAAGCCAGGGTCCTTTTGTTATAAAAACGAGTCGATTTTCAAATGCAAACCATTTTTATCCTACTAAAATGAGAAATAAAAAGAAAAAATTGTATCATAATTACATGGACAATAAACTCCAAAAATTCATTAAGTTGAAAATATTGAGAGGAAACCGAAGGAGCTACGTGAGTGAAGCTTCAAGCAACTATCCCAAGAATCAAAGAGCTTGTGCGTCTAACTAGGTAGTTGCAACAAACGTCTCTTTTAACAGTTCGTGTTTTATTATAATCAGTGCTTTCATTCGACCTTGTGGATACACTTCGAATTTGGCTAGTATGGGCCTTCCATTGGGCTCGTAAGAGCCTTGTAATGGGATCCAAGAGAGCGTAAGGTAAAAGTAATCCTTCTTTAACTTGCGGGAGTAGATTATATTGAAAATAACCTTGTTGAAATGAAAATTTACATATACAAATTCTTTAGCCTTTGTATGGTGATATCGTCCTTAGGGACTGACGACAGCTTCTCAGCCCTTTTGTTCGCCATTAACAAATTGCACTACCGCCAGTGTAGCACCAGGTTTATGCTTGAAGATAAAATTAGGAGACAGATAGCATTAAAAATGTCCAGTCCGCCATCACGGAAACTAACTTACTTCCAGAAACACATTTGGACCATCGAAATCATACGCTTTATTGTGGTCTCTCCTACTTTCTTGCCATTATGAACCCACAATAAGCTCCAACTCAATCTGATGTGATTTCTACTTTATGGGCAAATCTCAGAAACATTTTATTTACTTCCTTAGAAGGTAACAGTGGAAAATATGATAGCAAAGTCCTTCGCTCATAGAAATGATTTTATCAGTCAAAGGTGCATCTCGTTCAGAAAGGCCACACCATTACGAAGGATATTTACTCGATAGAGCATCATACCGTCAGTATAATAAGTTGTAAGTTGAGCGAAAGAAAACATATTTAAACATACTTAAGCAGGAAAATGAATTTTTTCTTCATTTTCTAACTTCCAGTGAATGCATGTGTTCCCATTTCTCTCCTTTGGTCCACTTAGCAATGAGGTGTTATGAAGACTTATCTGGCGACAAATTTGACAGCTATCACCCTTTTGTAACTCACACATATTTTTAACTTTGATGGCCTAGGGAAATTTGTATATCTCACTTGTATCATAATGTTAGTCATGCAGAGGTGGATTATTTTCCCCTTTTTAATAGACATAGTCAGGCAAGTTCGGCGCTAAACAAAAGGACATTTTTACTCTCAGATGCTGCTTATTAGGAGATAGATGCTGGAGAATGTAATCTTTTATTTGAAAGCATCTCAATATTTGGAGAGGTAAAATCTTGCTATTCTGACAGAAGTATTTAAGACTGCATTATTGTTACGGCTCATTAAGATAGAAAAACAAATAGTAAATCCATTTTTGGAAGTGCCTTTTAACAGCCTAATAAGCATTGCAGCGACAGAAAGTTGAAGAGGGCGGAATTAAAATAATCTATTTCTTTTCGACAGACTTTGCGTCTTAGAGCTAAAATCTTTATCCAACTATGGAGGTTGGTTCTCAAATCTAGCTTGCAAGCATGCCTGAACCGCCAAGGCTTCATTAGTGTGCACAATTGCAGATGCTACGCCCCGAGTACGGGCCTCGGAAGAGGTATTAATGCTATGGTAGCGTTATTTAGAAGGCCTAAAAATTATAGCAGTGATAGACGATACAATGACTTGAAAGCAAACACCATTTAAATGTATAAAAACTCTAAGTATAGGAGCAGTTTTAAACTCCTTACAAAAAAGTAAAAAATTACAAAGCGAGAAAACTAAACTAAAACGAATTCTGCAATTTTCAAATTACCCAATAATTTTTGCTGTGCATTTATAACGCTTGTTATACATTAGCAAATCAGTTATGTGTACCCATTTTATCAGTGTCCTTTAGCTAAGAAAAACTCTTTCCCTTTTATTCTATTCAAAAGATATTAAATAATTAGTTTTGACGTAAGTAATCAGGCCTCCTTTCTTGGTCACACAAAGTCACTCACGTTTTGTCATTAATTGGAAGGGCATTTGTAAAATGACATTTAAAGGTGGCATGTCAGCGCATTCTCTTTCCAGTCAAGGTAAATTAACACCAAACCTTTGAAAAACCAGTCTTTTGTTAAAATAGAGAGAGAGTATTCTAATTTTAATAGATTTTCCGGTCCACTCTTTTTTCGGCAAAAAATGATGTTTTTTTGATTGAGGAGTTCAAATTTACTCAAGACCACGGACAATCAGCAGTATAATTGGCAGATTTAATAGTTTTTAAAAAATAGGAAATATGCTTTAGCTAATTTTCAATTAATTAAGATCAACTTGATAAATAAATGCTTAAGCGGCTTTAAGGATTGATTCAAAGATTGTAAAGATGTGCAGTTATAAGTCAATAAAAAAACCAACTTATTTCAATCCAACATATACTTAAATCCCGTGGGTTTTTAAGCAACAAATTTCCCGTTTTTTATTATTATTTGTTAAAGAAGTTCCCGAAATAGGTTTCGTTTTTATGGAAAAGGTCTTCCAAAACGATGTTAATCCACGCCTTAGTTCTAAATTAAAAACCCTTAAAATGTATTACGCACGAGAGTAGTTTCTCCAGTAACATAAAATAATTTTTATAATTCGGTGATCGCTTGCAAATTCTAACTTTATAAAACATGATGTCTCTAGAGGTAATAAATCCAGCTCTAGTCACTTTTGCTCCTCCCTCATTTATACCTAGTGCCATAAGTGGATACCTGTTGCCAAAGGCAAAGGTGCTAACCTACATGAGGCACAATTAAAAAAATTTTCTTGCTCTTTTCTCCTGAAAAGCAAATCTTTCTTATAGTCACTGTTAGGCTGGCATGAGACTTGCCCTGTGAGAATATACGGAAGTCCTCTTCTAAACTGTTTTCCAAGAAGTTTTGCAGCAATAATTTAGAATTATATTATATATGGAAGAAAATGAATGGAGAGAATAAATAAAACTGCTTCATAGTTCTAGGCAGGTGGGTAACAAAATATAAAGTTAAGCTCTACAAAACACTGCAAAACCGAAATAATCCCTAAAAATTAAGTTTATTTTATAACAGAAAAAATTTTTACTGCATTAAAGTGGAAATAATTCTTATATTTTGTTTAATTCATAAGTTTATCCTTATGCATCAGTGAGTTTACCTTTCAAGGCACAAAATAACCCACTTCTATGTATAAAATTCATTCGACAAATTTGTGGCATCTCTCGTCACATCTACTTATTCTTGGGGAAAATTAAACATCGATGAACCTTTAATTATCTTGCTTTGGCTAAAAACAAAATCTGACTTCAAAGTCCTCTCTGAGTATGCCATAAGATTTGAGAGTTTGATGAACAGTTTAGAAGTGTAGCGAAGGGAAAACCATGCATACAGGATTGTATGAAAACTAGGGGCGGCATAAGTCAATGGTGCCAAAAACAGAAATTATTGCACTACTCGTTTAATTTGTCCCAAATCCATAAAAAACCACTCAAGCACCACCCAAATGAAATGACAAGGTTGTCATGGCAAACACGGTTCTGCCTGTCTACTTGTCGTCAGCAATGGAGGTGGCAACAACAATGATGCTATCAGTGGAGACGATGGGAGGAGCTGGGAGGTGAAAGATGAACGGGGTGGGTTAAAAAGGTTACAGGGAAAATTTCGTGGATTGCACGCGATTGAGGCACGACACTACACGCCATCTTGACAGCCCCCTTGACGCATGAATAGCGCTTACAACATGAGGCGTGGAGTCGCTTGCGGTTGTGTGTCAAAGCCTTGACTTACGATTAACTTCTTTTTTTCATTGTCACCAACTCTCGCTCTTCTGCTCATCACAAAAATAAACTAAAACGCAGTTTGGATTCTTCTTGTGCTTACGTTCTGTTACTTTTTCAGAGAGGAGGGGGGAGAAATGATGGTCTCATTTGAGTTAAATGAAAGCTTGGCTGTTGCAGACCCATTTAGCCACCTTGAAGCCTATATGGGGAGAATTCTGCCTTCGTTTCATCAAAAAAGTGGCTTTTAGTGACTTCAGTAAGTTAAAATAGGGGTTGCCTTCTCATTATTCAATTTGTCCTTTGTGATAAATTTTTGTCAGTCAGTATGCAGTTGTTTAGACATTCACTGGCTTATTGGCAAGAATTAACTTGTGGCAACATTCTACACATGTGGGACCCAATTTTTGTACCTGATATTTTTACTTTGTCGGTTCTTAACAATCGGTTGAGTCACATAATAGAAAAAACAGCTTTATCACATTTCTGTCTCCGAAAAACTTCACTGGTATTTTGGTAGTTTATTATTGGCATTTTTGGCGTCACACCAAAAGATTTAGGCAACAGGGCTGTGACGAAAAAATTTTAAGACTTTGATAAGCAGTTTTATTACAAATTTTCTCGTAACAATCATAAAGTTGTCAAAATATTTATTTTTAAACTGCAAAATAACAAATACGAAGTGACTAACAACGCCTAGAGATGCATTTTAGAAAAGCAGAGAAAGACGAAATTACAAGCACACTTGACTTAAACCGTTGCATAAAGGCCACAGTTTAAATGAGAGCCTATTTGATTAAAGATTTGAAAGTCTGTCCAAAATGAAAACAAAAATAACAGAAGAGTAATGCGAAATGAATTTTTTTAGTTGAGAGTAGAAATCTAAAAAAACGCATTATACATTTCATAGCCAAAAATAGCTAGTTACTAAGTAAAAAACAGGACCTGCAGCTTACGTCATAAGTTTTTTTTGTAATCATGCCTATTGAGATACGTCAGAATCCAAAAATTCGCGAACTCTGACTACATCTACCTCACCTGAAAAGGTCGTTAGAGATATAAATCCTGGAAGTAGTTGTTTGCCCACGTCCGGTGTGTTTAACGCTTATAAAACCCCCCATTTGTTTGTCGTTTATCTACTGACCAATAACCTTCCGGTTGCAAGAGCCTTAGTGCCGTAATATTTGCTAATTAATTGAAGGTGTCATCGGTTGTCTCCAAACAGATTAGTCTCTACCTTCCATCTCCAGACTTTTGTCACTCCACGAAGGCTCTACACGCTTTGAAGGCGTAACGAGTTGGCTGCTGACCAGATGTTCCACATGCAGAAAACCTAGCAATTACGACTGAGATCTGCCTACTTAATATAACAGAAATTAACATTTTGAACTACATTTCTCCCCAGAAATCGCCAACACTAGTGAATAAGCCTGCAGAAAGTTCTCTTTCCCTTCTTTCGAGGCTATCCATAACTTTAGACAATAACCAAATTAGCCCTTTCTCGTTGGAGATATGATTAGGGATGGTGTTAGGAATGTCTGTAGCCCTAAAACTAATTTTTTGTAATCTTTAATGGCCTCCTTTTTAGGTCTAATCTTCACAAATCTATCACGTCTGGCTCAGCCCTCTTGAGTGACCTGTGCTAATGCTCACTATGACGCCAAGGCCTATCAAATT